GATTAAGCTTGTGTGCGAAAGGAGAGGATTTGGCTACAATAACCTCACTGTAGGTATGCCATGCTAAAAGCCTTATTATGGCGACTTTATTGGGTTGAAACGTGCATTTGCATGGCAAAATGTGACTTCCATTGAAGCAGATGTCTTGATCACAAATTATCTTACAATGCGCTAGGAAAAAAAAATCTTAAAGACTTCTTAAAGTAAAAGCATTGAGTAATACCAATTAAAAGAAAATCACTAATGAGTTCATTCAGCCCGGCTCTTCTTGACTGTTCCAGTACTGTAGCTGCCCACATTCATTTACTAAGGGTTTGTGGCACCTACCCCAAACCCAGGCCACCTACCCCAACCCTTGGTACAAGCATCCAGGTCTTTGCATCGTTTTGCCACTCAACGTGTGTCCTTTACATCTAATTGTAATCGAACGAGCCATGTACTTCCAGGTGCTCTCCTCTCCCCTCTCCCCGCCCCTCGACTCATAAGCAAAAGTTTAAAATGTACAGGAATGTTTGGGTTTGATTTTTTTTTCTTTTTTTTTTTTTTACCCCGGAGCTGTGTCTGGGCAGAGAGGGGACCAGCGATCCCGCAGGCACCATGCGAGGACGTAGGAAAGGCGGTCCAGGAGGGAGCGGAGTGGAGCGGGCGGCGGATCCCCGGAGGCCCGGCCGCCCGCCCCCGCCGTGCCCAGCCTCAGCAGCGGGGAGCGGGGGGGCGCATCCCGCAGCAGCGCCGGTTTTCACTGCACATTACTTTTGCCACCTAGCGTCAACATCTTTTCAAGTGGCTTGTCGCTGCTTCGCAAACTTTGCTGCGGCGTTATCCCGGGGAAAAAGAGAGAGGAGGAAAACATCACTTCTTATGAGGTTTACTAAGCCAGTGGGGCGGGGGGGCGGGAGTGAGCGGCAATATCTGTCTTGAAATTTGGGTGGTGGCCCGTCGGTAGAGGCGAGAAGTGATATATCAACGCGGATCTTTTAATCTACGAGAGATAGAAAGTTTGTCCATTAGCATCCCCTTGCTTAAAAAACTGGAAATAAAAAGTTACACGCGCGAGGGCTTTAACCTAGCGATATAAAAAAACAACAACAACAACAAAAAAAAAACAACAAAAAAAAAACAAACCGAAGAAACTTGCCCCCAAATCCTTAACAACCCCCCTTCGGTACCGGGTATTTGTTAAATTGACGTGGCACAGATTTCTCGATTACCGCTGCTGAGCGTGACTGAAAGGCGCCGTGAGAGCCGGCAGGATCCTGCCCACGGCGCTCATTCTTCTCTGGCTTAATTTATGCCACGCGATTCTGTATTGGGGAAATCAAGCAGAAAGCTCCTTTTTCTGCTTTTTTCCCCCCTCTCCCTCTCTCTTTCAGATGCTGGACTAACGGGGAGACTGTTTAACTTAAGTGTTTCTATAGGAGGCTGTTGTAGTTTAACTCCTGCCCACCAGTAGCTGAGGCGAACAAAGGAGGGACTCGAGGTCTAACTATTCATCCATTCTCTGCACTTTAATTTTCATTGATTTCGAAGACAAGGGGAGCCCTTAGGGATTCTCGCTGAAGGGGGATGACACGCCTTTAGACGCGATCAGCCCCCCAGCCAGCCATCTGCTCCCAACCAAATGGCGCTTTTTCGCTCCCAACCGCGTGTCTCCGCACCGCGCTCGCCCGCCGCCCCCCGCCGCCCCCGTCGCCCCCGCGCTGTTCTCCGTGCCCGCGCACCGCCACCGGCCCCCGCTACCGTGCACGGCCGGTCCGGTCCCGTCCCGTCCCGCCCGACGCCCATCGCGGCCGCACCCGCCCCGCCGCGGTGAGCCGGCGGCGGGACCCCCGGGGGCGGGCGCGGGGCCCGGGGCCCCGCCAGGGCTCGGTGACCCCGCACGGCCGGGACGCGGCGGGCCCGGCCCCGCCTGCCAGCGGCTCGCTGGGGCTGGTGGGGTATTGTGCACTCCCTCCCTGCCCCTAATTGATACCCTTCCCGCAACGCCGGCCCCTCTCTCCTGCTCCGGCGAGTATTTACGGTCGCGCCGCGCACCAGCGCGGCCGAGAGGTCCCCATCAGTGGCAGCTTTTATTTCTAAGCGAGCCAGATTATGGGAAAAGTCACTTAAAAAGGAGGGTGGGTGGGATACGTGCGTGTGTTAATTAGGGCGACGCGCTGCCATCGCTGGCGTGCAACCTTGATTTTCCCCTGGACGGAGGGCTCCGGGCATATGGAGAACGGTGCGTCGGCGGAGGGACGTGTACGTGTGGAGCTATGTGTAGCCGAGTGTGCATAATATTTTAATTAGGCCTATAGTCCCTACGGAGGTATGCGTGCGCGGCTGCCCCTCCGCCGCACGCCCCCTTCACCTGTTCCTCCGGGCCGAGCCGAGCCGGGCCAGGCGGGAGGGAGGGGATGGGAAGCGGGGGGAGGGCAGGCAGGGTGCCGCTGGGCCGGGGCTCTGACTCCCCCAGACCCTGGCCCCAGGCTCGGCGGCGGGACGGGGGTGCTGGTGCTGCCCCGGCGCCCCGGCCCGAGGCGGGTGCGTGACGGGCACGGAGGGGCCGCGGTGCCGGAGGGCGCTCCGCCGCCCTTGCCGTGTGCGGGGAGGAGGATTAAGAAGTTTAGCGTGTAGGTTAGCCCAAAGTTGCAAAGGCATGTGCTGATTAGAATAAGAAAGGGCAGTCGCGTGGCTCAGCTGGCACACAGCGAGGCCAGATGATAGATAAGCAGCTCTGGGTCTTCCCTTCCCCCCAGCCCCCTTTTTGAAATCGCAAATCATCTGCTCCGGCCCTATCCTAGCCCCTCATTTTCATTACAATGGTTGTGTGTTTACCTGTGATCCTGGGACGGGGCATTCCTTTGTCTCCCGAGGAGATTACCGCAGCCAGCTGCTCTCCAACCCTTCCCTGGGCAAATCCCGAAGTGGCTCCTATATGTGTTTTACTGATTGCACATGAGGAGAAAGCCAGATACTCCCTCCCCCCGCCCCGGCCCTGTTTTCCTGCGCTACTTGTTTGTTTGGGTTTGCTCCCTGGCTAGCTTCCGACGGGATTTTGCTTGTGGAAAACTAAGAGGGATAAAATTGGTCACTCGTGTGCGTGAGCTGTCATTGCTCCCAAAGTCGGAAGGGTGAAGGGCTTCTTACCTCCGCCCGGAGGGACAGGACAACGGGACCCACCAGGGAACGACGGGACAAAAGGGATTTGAGGAAAAAAGGTTTCCCCCTGTCTTGCCCCCCCCCCCCCCCCCCCCCTAGGGTTCCTCCCAGTCTGGGACATAACTTTTCCCGCAGCGTCCCATGGGTGCCCTGAGTATTCCTTTGCCTGGCCCCTCCGCTGGGATACGCAGTTTCAGATGCTCTTCCTGCCCATGCACCTCTTGGGAGCACCTCGGCCTTGCATTTGGAGTACTGGCATCTTTGCTCACCTTTAAATTCAAGGATACTCAAGATCTTCACCACACCAGAAAACACAGAACACCTGTGGCTTCGAACAAGAAAACCTCCTGAAGTGCCTTACCACACGAAATATCCCTCGATCCTGATATTTATCCTGTGCCCCAGCACCCCACTTTCCCTGTCAAGCAAGCCCAGTGTAACCCCATGCAGCGCTGAGGCTTGGCTTGTCTTGGCAGGACTGTCACAGAGAGGGAGGGTGAGAGATAGAACTCAGATCATGTACAGGTGATAAATAATCTGATGGCACTCCTCAAAAAAAAAAAGTTCTGCATTACAGCTATGAGATTTTGCTGGATGGCTGGAAAGTTCCCCTTCTGCTACCAACTGAATATTCAGTAGCAATATTCGCTACCTCTGCCAGTTCTTGTAGGAAAACTCCCTCCTTTGCCCAGCATTATTAATCATCCTCTTAAGGCAGAACTCTAAATAGTAGCTGCAAACTACCACTCCAGCACAGGTCGCTCTCTAGAGCCCTGTGACAGCACAGAGTGCCACTGTACTGTGCTGCATTTCATGCATGAAGGGTTTTTGTGTTCTCCCACTTTGCACAATGTGTGCATCTTGTGCATTGTATGCTGGCTGCAGCGCAAAACTTGCTGCTAATAAACTTTGGGGGAGGAGAGGGGGCAACAGTTTGATTATATGTTTTCAGAGCTTTCCAAGCCACTTCCAATTTGTACAGTTTTTATTTCTTTCTGCATCTTTCCACGTTCAGGGTAGGCAGGGGGTGGGAGAAGGTGGGGGCAAAAACTCCTCTGCAGAAGGTGATTATGAGAAAGAGGATGGGTATGGATGGGGCGGGCCGGAGCTTTTGGAAATGCTCTCCCTTTTTCTAAGAGCATCTGCCCGGAGATGAACAGATGTGGGCACCTGCGGTGACAGGCCACATATGCTCCATCCTATTCACAGGCATTCAGACACCGCTACAATGGTGAGGCTTTGTGCACTCGAAGTCACCAAATATATTAATCTGCACTCCCCAGAGCACCGCTCTCTTTAATTTTTCACCGGCGATAACATCTGATCTAATCTTCCCATGGGCTCCCCCGTGTCCCTCTCCCCCCTCCCGGAAAGATGTGAAGTTATTCAAGTCCCCACCTGTTGCCGGCGGGCTGCGAGCGCGTCTCGCTCCCAGCCCGCACCCAGGGCATTATCCCGGGATGTGCCCGGGGAAAACGGGGGTTCCCTTCCGCTGGCAATCGCCAGGCACGACAAAGCGAACCCACCACCCGCCTCGCTGCCAAAAGTCGCGCTGCCAAGGAGAGACATAAATCTCCCAAGTGCGACTCGGGGGGTTTGAAGCGATTTCGGTGCGCGACGCTTTCATGTCCCCCGCCCTGTTCCCCCGTGCCGGCCCGGTTTGTTCGGGGGCACAATGGCCCCTCCAGCACCATTGCGGCCGTACAAAGCCGAGGGACCGCAGCCCACGGCCCCGTCCGGCACGGCCTCTCACGGCCCCGGCTCCGCCCGGCACGGCCTCTCACGGGCACGGCTCCGCCCCGCCGGCGGGCGCAGGCGCGGCCCCGCCCCGCGGGAAGCGGAAGCGGCGCTCGGGTCAGTGCCGGCGGTGGGGCCGGGGCCTGGGGACTCTGGGGGCCGAACCGAACCGAACCGGGCGGGGCTGGGCGGGGCTGGGCGGGGCTGGGCGGGGCTGGGCGGGAGCAGCCCCGGGGTGGGCGGGCAGCGCGGCCCAGGCGCCGCCCGGATCCCGGGGCCGGGGGCTCTGCGTTGTCGGGGCTGTGCACAGCAGCCCCCACACCTTGCGGGGTTCTTAAAGGCCCCTTCCAAACTAAAGAGTGTGTTTTCAGAACTCTGTGTTTAACTTATGGGATTCAGGAATGCGTTTAAAAGCTGTCTGTTCACAATACTTTGTAAACTCACTTTCCTTTCTTTCCTTTTTGAGTACAGTAAGTACGTATGTTTTTTTGGTAAATAAAAACCTATCCTTATTTTCGTAGTGTTGTGTACTTCTCTGTATGCTAGTAACCTGAAATCTCCCTCCCGGAGATACTCAAGAACCATCCAAGTGCAATCCTGTGACATTTGCTCTAGGATGACCTTGCTGGAGCAGGGAGGTTGGACTCTGATTCCTTCCAGACTTACTCATTCAGTGATTCTGTGAATTTTGTTTGATCATACTTCGGAGAATCTTTCGATACTTTTATTTTTCACTGATATAAAAACCAGAAGTGGAAAGGAAAAGAAATGTGTACTTACGTTCAGTTTGCTGATGGGAAGTAGACTGTTTCAAATTTTAAAAAGCCTGGATACGGCAATGAGCTGTCAGTAAAAGCAGAAGAATAACAGTTCTGTTTCCAAGCAGCTTTTAAAAATACTATTGTGGAATTTCATTGTTTTCCAGTATTGCATTTTAGAATGTTGTTTTTATCTTTCTTCTTTCAGACTGCTGTGAGTTTCGGAGATCAGCCATGGGTGTTAGAGGCTTGCAGGGATTTGTGGCACGAGTCTGCCCTGATGCGTGCCAAACGGTAGATCTGAGAGAAATGGCAGAAAAGCATCGCATTGACCATCCTGATTCCCCACCTGTTATCGTAGTAGATGCCATGAGTTGCGTTAGACACTGGTACACACCGGAATCCTGGGTGTGCGGTGGCCAGTGGCAAGAGTACCTTGTCATTTTACAGGATTTTATCAATGCTTTTATGGCAGCTGGTATCAAGTTGGTGTTTTACTTCGATGGGGTGGTAGAAGAGAAAAAGAGAGATGAGTGGATCAAACGGAGGATGAAGAATACTGAGGAAATAGCCAGATTATTTCGGTTTATCAAGACTCACAGGAAACAGCCAGGGAGGGAAATGTTTGTTCTTCCTTCAGCTCTGCCTACTTTTACACGTTATGCTCTGAAATCACTTGGTCAAAAAACAGTCTGTACGTTGCAAGAGGCAGACTTTGAGGTGGCTGCATATGGTTTGCAGCACAACTGTATAGGAATTCTGGGGCAAGATAGTGACTACCTCATCTATAACACATGTCCCTACTTTTCCATTGAGAACCTCCGTTTGGACAGACTGGTCACTGTCATGTACTCTCGAGAAGTTCTTTGCCATGTGCTGGGTATTAGTTTGACAGACCTTCCTCTCTTTGCATGCTTACTTGGCAATGACATTGTTCCAGAAAGCATGTTGGAAGGCTTTTGGCACAGATGTTTAACCACCAGTCCCCACAGAAATAGCAGCTACAACAGAAGAACAAACATACTGCTATCCGTAGCAAATTACATCTCAAAAATTCCATGCTCGTACAGCAGCCTGAAACACTTGGAAGAGATTATACCTCTGGGATCAGACAAGACATTGCTTTGCAGAGGAGTGAACTCCTATCTTTTGCCTGGGCAGCAGTCTCCATGGATTCCTCCCAATGTAACACATTGTCAAGTGTTATCCCTTCAACAACAATCAGCTCTCTGTCAAGATAAAGAAATCTTTCAGGTAACTTGCTTTTTAAAGCTTAATGATCACTTTATTGCCATGACTAGTTAGTGGAAGTTAGTAATGAGTACATCAATCCTATTGATTTAAATTAGCTTGTGCAAAAATCTTTTGTCTGTTAAGTAGAGCCCCAGTTAAAACTGTTGGGTGCGTTAATATGAGCACAGATGCAGCACATTTTATAAAAAGTAGTTCCTCTCTTTTTGAAGTGTCAATTAGGTCAAATAATGGGGAGCAGCTCCTGTGTAGGCCAGCAACTGGGCACAGAAATGTACTTCCCATATATTATATGATTTCCCATGTTTATATGATTTGTGTATTGACTTGGTTTTTACTTTGAGAACCCACAGGTCAGCCATAAGCTGGTCAGTGATCTGCTTGGCTGTACCTCGCAGTGGAGGTATCAAAGGTAGCTGTGCTAAGAATGCAGAAGTTGAAATTACTCATAGTGGAGACATGAAAACTGCTGCAGAATCGTGTCATAGAGTCATGGAATGGTTGGGGTTAGGACCTTAAAGATCACCTAGTTCCAAACCCCTGCCCTGAGCAGGGGGACTTCCACTAGACTAGATTACTCAGAGTCCCATCCATCCTGGCCTTGAGTACTTCCAGGGATGATCCAACTCCTGTCTTGTCAACCTGGGCCAATGCCTCACCACCTTCACAGCAAAGGGCTTCTTCCTAATATCTGATCTAAATCTACTTTCTGTCAGTCTAAATCCATTTCCCCTCATCCTGTCACTATATACCCTTGTGAAAAGTCCCTCTCCAGCTTTTTGTAGCCCCCTTTAGGTATTTGAAGGCTGCTCTAAGGTGTCTCCAGAGTCTTCTCCAGTTACACAACCCCAGCTCTCTCAGCCTGACTTCATAGCAGCGGTGCTCCAGCCCTCTGATTGTCTTTGCAGCCCTCTGGACTCGCTCCAACAGGTCGAAGTCCTTCCTGTGCTGGGGACATCAGAGCTGAACACAGCACTCCAGGTAGGATCTCACCAGAGTAGAGTAGACAGGGAGAATCCCCTCCCTCGCCCTGCTGGTCACACTGCTTTGGATGTAGCCCAGGGTTCAATTGGCTTTCTGGAGTGTGAGCACACGTTGCTAGCCAAGATGATAGGTCAAGCTGCTTATTCAGCAGCACCGTAAAGCCCTTCTTAGAGCTGCTCTCAATCCATTCTCCATCCAGCTTGTATTTGTGGTCAGGATTCCCCTGACCCAAGTGCAGGATCCTGTACTTGGCCCTGTTGAAATTGATGAGGTTTGCACAGGCCCACCTCTCAAACCTGTCCTCTGGACAAAGCCTTTCCCTCCTGCATGTCGATGGCACCACACAGCCTGCTGTCACCAGCACACTTGCCAAGGGAGCACTGGATCCCACTGTCCATGGCAAAGATTAAACAGTGCTGGTCCCAGTACCGACCCCTGAGGATGCCGCTTGTCACTGGCCTCCCCTTGCACATCGACCATTGATCACAACTCTCTCTCTCAGTGCGACCATCAACCAGTTCCTCATCCTCCAAGAGGTCCATCTGTGAAATCCATGCCTCTCCAGTTCAGGGATAAGGATGTTGTGCAGGACAGTGTCAAATGCAATAAGTATGTATTTTGTCATTCTTGGTTCAGGTTAAGTTGCCCTTGTTTTCATTGTCCCTGAATGACCCAAAAGCACTTCAATGGGTTTACTAATTCCCAGATGGCAGGGGTGTAGCACTAATTTTAGTTATGGCATCCCGCATTGGCAGGGATGTGCTGGTGTTGGGGTGAGATATGGTATGTTGGATTGAGTCACTCTGGGAAATTGGATGTATTAGCTTAGGGTGGCATACTTGCCTAATAGCAAATGTGCTACCTTGCATTAGAGTTTATGGAATAGTAGTAAGTCTAGAGTACAATTATGTAAATTCATAGCAGTTAAGATAACATATTGAGATTTTTTTAAAAATCTATACAAGGAAGTGTATTTTAGACCCTATATTAGCCATCTGTTACTCCCTATTTTATTAGGTCCTTATAGATTTCAAACACAGAACTTCTTTTTCTTTCTCTTGCTTACCTTGAGCATTTTCTTTAAAACTGTATTTCTGTTTCCTCATATTACACTAAAGTAATAATATAATTTACATTTTCCTTTCTAAAAAAACTGTAAAACATTTTATAGCTACATTGTAACCTATGCAATGCTCATTTCAGCTAAACTGTACATATATTTTGGATTTTATATTAATCACACATAGATACAATACATATCATTTTTGACTGTTGTAGTTATTTTTTTAAAACACCAGCCATAGATCATAATGAGGTGTTGAAAAATCCTCTTTCAGCTTGAAGTGCAAAGGAAAAATAGCCAGAATGCAATTATCTAGGTTGGATTATGGCCAGGACAATAGTGGCAATATCTTTATTCCTTAAGAGAATGTACCATGTGGTCTTTATCACAAGTGGTCATTATTTCTTGGCTTGGTCTTTAATTTGAAGGGTTGAAGTTCTGAAGCATCATGCTGAGCTACTGCTCTAATAAAATAATAATGTTTAGAAACTCCCCTGAAGAATGTCTCACTGTTGCTGCATGAATCCTACATGAAGCCAGTTGCTGGGCCAAGGAAATTACAGTCAACATGTTAGACATGTTAACTTCTCTTTTGTTTTTGTTACAAGTGTTCAAGTATTTGTATATGTAATGTGTATGCTTTGCTTCGTATTTTGAAACTCATGTGTAATTCTGCTTACCTTGCACATTGTCTGAACTGCATGAAAATGGCACACAAAGCTCATTTCCAACCACGAGGGCATAGCCTGATGTTGCTGTTTCTCTTGCAAGAGCATAACTTTCTAGCTGATTGTAGATATGAATCAGAAATATTTTTCAAGATACAGGCATTGAATACAGCAATACTTTTGAAACCAGGGTATAGTTTTTTCAGTACATAAGGATGTGTAGATTATTGGCAAATTGCAATAAACTAGCATTGTTGATGATCTCATATCTGTGGCTGGTTTCTCTGAAATAGTTGTTTCATATAGTGCTTCATTAAAATCATGCTTAGAAATACTTGATGCCCTGTTTTTGTTTTATACAAAAGTATACTTGGGGGATTATGTTCACACATATTAGGAATACCGAAGTATTTATTGCAGGAAAATGAATTTATTGTATAAGTGCTCTGTTGATTGGCACTGTACACAGAAAATACGACATTTTTGTAGAATTAGTTTTGATCACTAATGATCCAGTAAATGACTGCAGCTTTAATCTGCTGAGTTCCCAGGTCTGCAGATATGGGAATTCTGAAAAAATGGTGAATTTGTTTCTGGCCAGTGGTCCAGTAACTCCTAGTGAAAGAATCTGTGGCAGCTGTGGCAGGATGGCACAACCCAAATAGTACAGATAGCATGACACATGCAGGGAATGCAGAGCAGAGAAACATCAGTGCTTGCTCACCGTATGGCACAGGTCCTGGAGAATTTGTTAGTGGCACCCCATGGAAGTATTCACTCCACTCAGCTGTTTGAACACCCCCAGAGTTTTGGTCTGAGGTTCTGAAGTAGAAAGTCTGTCTGGCTGTGCACATGGCCAATGCAGATTGCCAGTGTTACTGGTTGGAATTCTGTGCTGCCTGAGAGCATCTTTATTGCTTTCTCACCTAGGCTGCTCCAGAGCAGCAGACCCTGCTGGTACTGAGGCTGCTGGTAGCCAGCTACTGTAGCCAGATGTATCTGCATCCAGTGCATGGCTAATGTGCAGCCTGGGTGATGCTCTTAATTCTGCTTTTCAGCAACACGCCTGCAGACTTGGTTTTCCTCACTAGAGCAGATGGCATTTCTTTTCATGGTGGAGAGCTATTGCAAAGTAAAAGTGTAGTGAAGTTAAGTATTCTAATTTTATCAGAATGTAAACTACACCAAGTCAGCTTGGGAAAGAAATACAGCTATCTCATATAGTTCATCTTGCAATCAAATTAAAAGTTTGCATTTTGTCATGCCTTCACTCACTGTTTAAAGAAAGAAGATACATTTTCAGGTGGCCAAAGGAGGGCAGCTATGCTGGAATTCAGAATTAATTTTAAGAGTAATTACTTTCTAGAAAACTGTTGTTCAAGTTCCTAAGTTTTAAGAATTAAAGGAGGAGCTAAGAAAGGCAATGATGGTTCTTCTGGGGATTCCTGTCCCCAGGACAAAAAGATGGATGTCTGAAAATACACTATACTGGTGTTATTTGAAAAAACACTTGTTCCCTCCCTGGCTATTCCCTCCATTTCTACTGATAGAGAAATACTTATTTCCTCAAACAGTGAATACATTTTGTTACTTTCTGATTCTTCTTAATCTTGGAGATAATGCCTTCTTCCTTCTTTGAACAAACAGTTAGCTAAAGAACAGCATATCAAATCTGAAAATTTTTCAATCTTCAATATCCTGAGTCATGGAGGGACTGAGTGCAGCAACTCCTTGGAAGATGACTGTGATACAGAGATTCCTGGACAGGCACTTATCTACCGCCCTGCTCGTCAGCATATTTATGCTATCTTGTTGGAATCTGGAAAAGGTAAGGATTAAACAACTTACACCTTTATTCAAGTATACTTTCAATTTTGAAATATGAAATCTTGAATTCATTGTTTCAATGGCTCTATCAGTATTTAGGATAGAAAATTAATTTAGGATAAAAACTCTGAGCAGCTGAAATGTAGTTCTTGTGGAAGTAAGAAAATGTGAGAGTGAAATTGTGGGGCTTTTTATACATGCTGTTCCATTTCAGTGCTTTTAAATTATTTTTTACAATTGGAGCTTTCTTCCTTGCTACAAGGGAAGTTGTGAAAGTTGTTAATGATCAAAAGATTGAGCAAAACAATGATCTTTAGATTTTTGAAAGTTTGAGAGTATATGAAACCTAATGTTGCTTGAATAAATGTGGCTCTGGATGAATTAGTGAGTTGTAATACACTTTTGCAGAACAATAATGCACTGTTAAAGTTTTACCTTCTGTTGATTTTAAGTCTGCAATTTTCAGAACAGTCAAATACAGTTCCTGTAATAATACAAATGCAAGTCGTCATGCCAGGAATTATTAATTCTTTCATCCAAGTGCTAGAAAATACGATTTCCTTATCCAGTGGTATAAACAGATTTGGTAGCAGGTACTTATATCTGTGCTTGCATTCATCTCCTTGAAAACAGAGTTCTTTATTCACATCCTTGGACCAATTTCATGTTCTTAAGACTTCCATTAGTTAAGTGTTATCTTTACAATGTCTTTCAGCCAGTGAGTTGAAAATTAAAAGTGTACTGAACTTTTATTCTTTTGAATGTGTTGATTTCTCCATGGTAATCACTTTACATTTTATTGATGAAAGTGCACCGCCATCAAACGTTATATTCAAACTATTTGCTTAGAAAGGCACAAAAAGGTAATTAAGTACATGACTTCTCTCAGCAGCCAGAGGTTGAAGTTGTGCCATAATTGGAAAAACTGAATCAGAGTTTACATAGCAATTTGGAGAGAATAACAAAAATCTCAGCAGTAATCATGCACATCTGTCATTTTTCATTTTTTGGTGTACTGCCTCCAAATTTTGTAGATAATTATAACTTGGTTGGGTTTTACTTATTCATCTAAACAGCAGGATATTCATTGATGTTTTCAGAAACACCTAGACCAAAATTCCTAATTAACAATTGTTGCTGCAAGACGGCAGGGTAGTAGGCAGGTTAACATTTGTCTTACAGTGGTTTTAGTACTCAAAGAAGATCAGAATTGAAATACAGAAACGTTTATTTAGAGTCATATTGAAAATTAATTCTAATGTGAAAATTGTCTTCATTTAAGGAAGTGATTTTAGAATAAAACCACAGATAGCATGTGTTATTTATTCTCAGTTCAGGCTTCCAATTCCAGAGATAATTTTCTAAAGTAAGTCATAGTGCATCCTCCATTCTTAACCCTTCCAGAAAGATAGGTAGACTGTGTCTACATGGGTGCCTCTATTAAATCTGCATTTTCAGTGCATGTATCTACCTCTAACTGCTTTAACCATGTCACTACATAGTAGTTCATGGGTTGTTTTTTATTCCAGTCTATAATTGCTTCTAAGTCAAGAGTGTAGATCATTAGTCACAGTTCATATTGAAATGCATAGGTATGTGTAAGCATTTTTTTTATGGATTTACTGCTAGACCTACAAAGAAGTTTTGTTCTTTACAAAGTAGACTCTTTTGCCAGTTTCCCTCAGACGAGGTCAAGTTGACTGTTTTTTATAATTTGATAAAGAATAGGATGGGAAGAAGTAGTCTACACTGTCTGTAGGTTGTAGTATAATGTAAAATCACGTTGGATTAGCCTTAAAAAAGAGCTTACTGGAACAAGAAAACCAATTAAATTAGTCCATTTGGAGTGTCCATGTGAAGCCTGCCACCATTATACAGCTGATGTAGCACATTTGAAGCTAACTCCACTAACTGCACAATATTCCAGTTTGCAGTAGTGGTGTATGTGTTAGTGATCCTCTCTTTTACTCTTTAATATTACCAATTGAAATATGATGGAAACTGACTTCTTTGCAGTTTGCAGATCTGCTTATTTGCTGTTAATTGGCAAAGCAGCCAATATTTAGTAAAAGCAGTGATTACAGTTTTAGTGAGAACAGGTTAAAGCTAATGTTTGCCCTAATATGAAACAAGAGATGGTTAGTTTTGAACATCTAGGTTGTAATTTCCAAGGGTGCCTAAGAGACCCACAAATTTACAGGAGCAAAACGTCTTATCCTTTGAAACCATTGGCCCATACCATGCCGCTTTGCCTGAAGCCATAGTGGGAAAAAATGTTGCTTTAGCTACCAGCATCACTTTAAATAATTCTCTTGCACAGCCACTCATTTCAATCCTTGTGTATCATCTCAGTTGTGCTGGTGCAGCTGTTTGTGCAGCTGTGCAGTGGCCTAATTTGAGAAACTGAAAATAGCCTCTGTCTCTCTTCCCTTCCTTTCTGTATTCAGGTAATTAACCTGGTTCTGTTTCCCTATCAGCTCCACAAACTGCTGTGGTGAAACACCCTGAGGGAATGGTAGGGAGTGGAAATGAACAAATCAGTGCCTGCCTGCAAAAGGTAGCAGTCCTGCTGAAAGAATTGCCTACATAACATTGCCTTTGGTATAGTTTGGTGTATGGTAAGCGTGTACCTTAACTCATGGAAATGTTGGAGAATCACAGCCTTATTTTTGACCGTACAGAAAGAAAGAGGGGGCTGATGGTGATTCTGACAACAGGGCATTTGTTGCCTGGGTATTTCAAAAGTAAGTTTGTAATTAATTGAGCCATTTTTGATCAATATGTGAGATATTGCATGCAGTGATAGAAATTGTCAACGCTTTAGCATCCTTCCAAGAAAAAGTTCTTTTGGAAAAATTCAAGTAGGAGGGTAAAATAGCAGTAAATAATACACCCTAATAGGCCAGCCAAGCTTTCTTATGTGTGCTAAGAGTTCAGAGCAAAGCCAGCAGGTTTTGGCACTAGCATAGTCCATAGAAATACCTGCACCTGCATGTCCATTGCCAATTAGGAGGTTATGTAATGTAGCCTGAGCTCGTGGCCAGCTCCTCGAAGTCCTGGCATCACTCCCAGTTCTAACATTAGCAGGCCAGACTGATCCTTGCTTTGACACTGTCAAAAACAATCCATTAGCAGAATTTTTGCCCGTTATCACCAGTGACTGCTCAGGAGAGTTGGCATTGTTGCAGGTATAGAGGAACACATATAGCATTTTCTAACTGTCTCATGGTTTCCACGTAGTTGAAGCTTTCCTTAGGCTGCCTGAGCAGTGCTTTCACAGGGCATTCAGAATCTATTTAAACAAAAAAACTGCTATTTTTTTCATTTCATTGGTGATATTCTTTATATGCATTGTGGGGAAAAAAAGTTTGAAAAATTAGTGGTTTTTTCCCCCCAAGACATTTCCATGTGGAGAGGGTTGACATTTAGTAATCATATCTCCATTTTGTTCTTGGTATGTTAATATGCTGTCAGTTTGCAGGACCTCACTTTCAGCTATATTTATTTGGCTGTTTTTGTGAACAGTGATACATGTTTGTTACTAATGGACTACAGTAATGAAAAGCACTCATCTGTTGTGGTGCTATGTCCTGTACTTACATTCACAAACATCAGAAGAATGAAACTGTAGACTTCCTACTGACTTCTCTTTTTACTCTGCATGAGTTCAATGGTTGATGTAAAAATAATCTCTAACTGATATTTAGAATCAAGACACATTTTGATAAGTTTTTCTGTGAGTTGTGGAGCTCATAAAGAGCAATGCTCCCTACCAGCAAAGTTTTTCTATTTCCATGCTTCTTTATACCATCTTAACTTCTCCTCATGTCCTTGACATCTCCCTCCTGCAGTTCCTAAGCATGTTCCCTATTGCCTCCTGCCCTTCCCAAATCCCATCTACCTTTTTCCTCAGTTCTAGCTCTTCTACAGCTATTTGTGTATTGATTTGCCATTCAGTCTGTTTGGATACAACAGGTAAGTTGACTTTCCTGCGTTTCTTTCAGTTGGTGCCCTAATAGGACCCCTCTATCAGCTGAGTCTCCAGTTTCATAAAATGTTTAGGACTTTAATCCATTTGAAATCACTTCTCCTTTGTCAGATTTAGTTGAAACAGAGCAGTGCATCCATGAATTGATTATAAGACAGCTGTCCTAATTGTATTAGGTTTGCCTCCTTAAGAAACCAGACTAAAATTTTGGAGTCTGTGTGAGCTGAATAAATTTAATAAAGCAGAGTAATCCACATACTAAATCTTAAAACCAAATGCTAAAATGTCAGAATGTTTCTGAAAGTGACTTTGGGTTATTTAATTGGAGGGTTTTGATCATGAAATAGCATTATCATAGACCATGATTCATAATCAAGATGGGGGAACTATTCAGCTACTGGAATGTACATTTTAAGGGTTTTTTTTTCAGTAGGCATTTTAAATTTTATTTTTAATGTCATAATTTTTTTAACAGATAAGCATAGCAAGCCATGTGTAATACTGTCCCTCATATTCCATGTATTGGTGGTTCTTCAGTCCCTCACCTTTATTGTGAGTTTGTGCTGCAGGCCCATGGGGAAGGAAGGAAGGAAGAAGCAGAGTTGTAAAACAGATTTTGTCATGTTCTTTTTCTCTTCTCTCATCCCTGACACTAGAAATAGGAATTTCTGCCCTTGCACCGTAGCACACTGCTTTTTCATTCATGTCAACAGTTATCTTCCATCCCTGAGTTATGCGTGAGATCAGGAAATTCTGTAACAAAACATTTTTGGATGGATGAGGAAAGGACAATGTTGGAAAGATATGTTTGGTTTGTTTTAATCTAGGGGAAGTTTTTGATTAGTGTTCACAACATGGCATCAAAAATACTTGTGTGGTAAATTTCAGGGAGATTGGAATTGGTGATATGAGGCAGGAATTTTTAAGGATAGTGGCTTCAATACTGGAGAGAGCTGGAAGAAATTAAGAGATGCAATTCTATGAATCTGGAAAGGGACAATGGAAGGAAAAAGAGAAAATATTTGAAAACAGTACTCCAAGTGCCCAGGACTAGCTAAACCTCTAATTCATTCAGTTTACCGGACTACAAAGAGTGGAAATTTAGGGCACTATGACATGGCTGCTATAAGCAATAATCTGGACAGAATGCAAAACATTGATAGTAGCGCTGATTCTATGTTTGTTTGTTTGTTGTTTGTTTTTTAGTGAAGACTTGCATTTGGATGATTTTGAGATTACTGTTGTAAATTGGATAGTCTGCATTTCAAAAGTTCTTAAATGCTTGATTTTTCTTTTTTTTCCTGAGGATTGGTTTGTTTGGGGTTTTTTTAAGCCTCAGGTAGTTAGATGCATAGTTCCTGTAGTGGAATTTTTAATTTAAGGTGCATCTTTAGGGGGGCAGGTTTAGCTGAGCAGGGTTGAAGTTAGAGACTAGGAAAGCTACTAGAGCTAATATGTGTAAACAATTCCTTTCTGCTAGATGAAAGATCTAGAACAATGAGCTGTAAAAGCTCTGCATCTGGTGGTGGGATGACTCCATTGCTGTCAGCTTTAAAATAGCCATCAAGGCCTCCCTATGAAGATTTTGGCTCAAACCCTGACACAGGAAGTGTCAGGGCGAGTTGGGAGGTGAATCATATTAAGCACTGCCTGGATGTGTGGCAGTGTGACAGTGCTGAGAGACTGAGGTAGCTCATGCAGGTCCCTGAGCTATGCTGTATGCCTCCAGAGCTTCCTGAGCTGCCTTGGAATGAGAAGGCCTAAGCCTGTTTGAGAATGTTTTCCACAGACTCTTGTACTTACATTTTTGGTTGCAGTTCCCAGTCCAAACTCATGTTTATAGTACATAATTGAAACTCTGTTTATTTGTTCTGATGATTTGTCATAAAAATACTAAAACTATTTTTTCTTGGTTTGTTTCTAAAGCTGAAAAAACAAGTCATCAAGAAGTGCCTTCTATTACTTTAGAATCCTGACCACAGCTGATTCCAGCTGTTACACTAGTGTCAATACTTGCATTTGACTTAATGATCCAATTCTGGTTTTTTAGGTGGAACCTATCCTTTGGTAAAAGAGTGGTTTGTCTATTTTGGAAATCCTCTCAGGAAGCCAGACCTGATACAACCCGTACAACCTTCTGTTAAAGGTAGAATAAAAATGTCTATAAATGTAAACTGAAAGAATCACTTCACTAAAATGCGGTTGGACAATCCATCATGTGTTCGATGTAGAATCCAGGACGACTGTGGAGAACAAGGAGCTAAAGAGCTGCACAGTTGTAGTTGCTTTTAATTACCCTTTGTAATTATAATAGAATTCAGCTCTGAGATATGTGCTTTTAATAAAAAAAACAAAATTGGGCTATCGATTTCTATGAAGCTGTTTCTACTCTTTTAAGCCTTAAGTATTTTGTGTGTTTTTATCTTCTTCCCTTTGGTAAAAAAACACATTAATGAACACTCTTAGTGAAATTCGAGTTAGGAGAAATGTGTTACATTTATGAGGAAGTATCATATATTTCAGTGAAAAGATTGAGCACTATATATATAATTATATATATATATGTGTGTATATATACACATAATTGTATCTTGCAGTATAAGTTTAGTATGGGAAGTAAACAATTTTGTTTGTGAAGGGGAAAATTGCTCCAAGTGTTCATTTGTCCGTGCAGCTGTAGTCATCCTTGTTCTCACAGCTCTCTCTCTCTCTGTCCTCTGTTATCAAATGGATCAGCAGCTCAGAGATCTTTCTAGTCTTTCACATGAAATGTATTTGTTCCACTGATATACAGTACCATTGATATCTTGTAAAGAAAAGTTACTATCTATTCAACTTTTGGAGAGTAATTACATCTTCCCTCAGCATCCAGAGCCTTCTGTAGTAGTCCTTGTGCTGATCTGGACTAAATCCAAATTCAGAAGCTGAAATGCAGGTACTTCTTTGTAAATTTATAGTAAATTTTCTTTTTAGGTATCCAAGGATTGTACATTTATCTTTATATTTGAAACTCATATATTTAATGAGAGTCTTTGAATTCAAAGATGAAGAAAAACCAGTTGCTTTTTACATATCAGCCTTTTCAAAATCCCTTTTAAAGGGCTGTTTGGAAAGAAATAGATTATATAGACAAAGTACAAATGAGTTTTTATTTGATATACAGTACTTTCACTATCCAGTACCCCTGACACAATATTAGGAGAGTGATTATCTAATTGGCTTTATGATAGCATAAAATTGCTGTGAAATTTTCCAAATGGAATATGAATATGGAGAGTAAAAATCGATCAGTCCCTCCCGTGCAACTGTTTTATTTCAGCATACAGTGATCTGGAAACATGCTGCAAAACAAGGAAACAAAACTCAACAAAGTATAAACCGTACCTATGTAGTTACATTTCAAATTGGCAAATATACTGCATTTATTGATGTGAAATTTTCCGTCCCAGATACTATACTTCCTTCCTCCCTTTCTGGAAAGGAATCCATTTAATCTCATGTACTCTGGTTCTGTAGCCCTGTAAACAAAGAACACATAGAACCCACCTTCATGCTGACAATAAACAGGATTTTAAGTGTGTTTGTTTATAGCAACCACATAAGTGGAGTTTATAAAAACAGAGTCTTCTCAGATACAATCTTTACTAACCCAGTAATGAAAGGCTGTTCAAGCAGACTATTAAAAAATGGAAGGAGGACTTTTAGTGTTTATTTTTAGTGCTCTGTTGTCATTCCTTCAGCAGACAAATATTTTTCTAAAATTTTTGCAGTCCATATTTGTATGCCTTACATTCGCTCATGCATCTTTGATTTTCCACAGCATGACTTTCTAATTCACCAAATAAGGTTCTCAACAGCACATCACATTTTTCAGACAGGGATCATATTTAGAGCTAAATTTAAAGTTATTTTAGGAAGTTAGAGTTCAAGGCTGTCAGTCAAGATCAGATTACTCAAAAAGACCCAAAAAAATTTACCAAAAACCTATTTGAAACATCAAAAGTGCAATTAATTTGGGACAGTTCTTTATCTTTTTTGAAAAAACTGATAACCTGATCATCAAAACTACTTTAGACCTGAACTGAGAATATATGGAAAATCCTGACTCTTTTCCAGTTTGATTTAGATTAAAAAGTCTAAAGAAACTATGAACTTTAAATGTAGTGTACATAATGATAAATACTTTAAATTTTGCATTGATCTTAAAAAAAAAAAGTAGAATTCCTACTAATGTTTTGTGCATGTATGAAACAGCAGAAGTGCCTTGCATTTGGAAAGGTTGCAGGTGATAGATTGAATGTTAGCTTTCTTAAAAAATGAAATATTGAATCCCAAAGGCAGGATGGTAAGTAAGATGATAAAATATATTTTAAATATAGTATGTATTAGGTATATATATTTTTTTGAGAGATAATCTTCTGAATTAGCATCAGTGCTTGCTTGCATTATCTATGTCTCTTTCTTCCTTCTGGAATGTTTCTTTTCAGTTGAATGAATATGATCATGATTTACACACATTGACAGAGCAGCACTTATAATGATAAAACGTGTCACTGGCAAATCAATTTTGTTAGAAGATCCATGATCTAAGAAAATACTGTTTAACATCCATATCTTGTGAACATATCAGGTATATTTGGTATGTGTGCAGTTTATGTGGAACAGGAAAAGTTCTAAAGTCTTTGCTGGAAATGTATAGATTCTGCTGTTCATTTTATTTCTGAAAATGCATAGGATGCTGTAGCTTCATATCACAGAGTTTGGATGTACTTTCAATATTCTAATCACTGCATCCTTCATGAATGTATCATTAATATGTTTAAGTTCAAAATGCTGTCTCTGTCTTTAATGGGCTGATTTAATTAGCATTTGAGAGTTTTGGCTGCAGTTGTTGAGAAGTTACTGTTGAGTGTTCCTAGCAAGTAAATTTTTATAAACTAATTTTTATTGCTTGGTATTTACATGAGCATGCAAAAATGAAGAAGTATTAAAGCTCTATTAGTGGTGTTATAAAATAAAATATCACTAGTCATTACTTCAAATAAACATGAATGTTTACTATTACGTATTTATATCTGTATACACAGTAATGCTGTGTTTAAAGTTGATACAAATGTGAGGATCACCTTTGTTTAAGTGTTAAATGATATCATAGAATTAATGCGTTCCACAACTTTTGCATGTATTGCATATCCATAAATTGATTATTGAAATTCAAACAGATTAAATAAATGTTTATGCAGTCCCTCGAAGTGCTTTTGTTTCTCATACAGCTGCTTTCTATATGATAATGGTATTAAATGTGTGAGTATAAAGGAAAAAGGTAAAAAGTGATTTGTCCATGCTTTTTTTTTAACTTGTGGGTTGTCTGTTTTTGTTATTAGAAAAGTAGTGTCTCACCTCCATGGAGGTCTTTTTAAAGCTCCTCTTCTTGAGGCTCCCGAAGACTGCAGTTCACATGGTGCTGAATATGGCTTTCACACAATTTTGTGTATGTTGAGAGTAATTATGTACAGGGTAATTCATGGGAAATGGTGGTTCCTACAACAGATTATTTTATCATTACTAGTCTTTATACTAGAGATGTTTTAATTAGGTACATATAAATATGTTTTGGTGTGTTTTCCTTTTGCTACTCAGTTTTAGTTGTTTCTAGCTTAATTTAGTAAATACATAGACATGTTCAGAAAATAAAATATTTCTCCTGCCTATCCAAGTAAATTTCTGTTTCAGAAATGTTTTCTAATTTAAGTAATGTAGTGAGGATGTAGCTAAAGCAGAGAACATTTTGAGGGTCTACTGTAGATGAATCTTAGATCTGCTGTGGAGTGCATGTGTGGTGGGACAGTAATTAAAATTTAGGATGTTTCTTTCTTTGTTTTATTTGTCTTTAATTTGATATAATAGATTAGTCCTGGGTATTACATGGAATTTTATTACTTGAAGATGAGAACCCTTCAGAAAAAAAGTGCCTTTTGTTGGTGTGTTCCAAAAGGAGACAGCATTAAGTTTTCTTTCCCAGAGTATATAAATCATAATTTATCAGTACCTTTTTTTCCCAGGCGCAAGTAGATGTTTGTGAAAGCATAAGAAACTGTTTATGGAAGAGATGTCTTGAATTTTTTGTTGAGCTCTCTCAACATAGATCTATAATCTTGAATATTGACCTAGTTAATGGTTTTACTCTGAAGAAAGAAGGATTTCTGTTATTAGGTATGCCCCTGCATGCAAAAGAGAACTTTCCTTTTAACTGATTCTTGGTGTATCTCTTCGTATGCAGAAACCATCAAAACTATATGAGTTTACCCATGTACAGATTGTCTGATACATCAGGGTTGCTTAGGCTTGGTAGGAAAATTTGCTTTGTTTTGATTTTGTGCATGTTATATTTTGTCTGCTTTGTTTGCTTTCTTCTTTTTCTTAAGGCAGCAATTACCAATATCAAAACCAGTAATGTGAGTCTCACTGTGCTGTCTGTACTGCCCCACTCACTGCCACTATTTGTGTTATCTCTTACCTGCATTTCTACCTCCAATCAAGCAACTGGGTTTTTTTCTTAATAATACATTTCCCTTAGAAATACAGTTAGGAACTTATGGATTATATGACAGTAATTCTTTTAATGTTAAAACTTTTGACAGGAGGGTTAGTCTTAAAAATAGTAAATGAAACATCCATCAGAGAGATAAAGAAATAAAATACTAACTTTTCTTCTAGTTTCTCACTCTCCAAAGAATTAGTACCATTTGGTTAATGGGCTTTCCTGGCTAAATAAACATCATCTATGTAGATTTCAACACCTTGTCACTTTAACCATTTATTATCACCAAGTGTTCCTAACTGGTCTGCAGCTGCTGCATGTCACATAAAAAAGGAAGAGGTGTTACCAAATGTAGCTTAATTAGCCCACATTTAAAATTCACACCTCATTTTATTTAACTACAGAAGCAGCCGTACTTTATGGTACAATTCTGGCTTTTATTGAGATTCTCAGGCATAACCAGTTAGCTATTCTGTTATTTCACGTGCATTCGTGTTTATTTTGATAACAGATTAAATGTAATTTAAATGAGGAGCAAATTTTGCATTAGCCCACACGTGTCACAAGCTGGGAGATGGCAGCATGGGGTAAATATTAAGGGTTTAGAGACAAGTGTGAATGATACTAGAGAAAGTCTGGAAAGATCCATTATTCATAACTGATGACAGTTCTTTTGTGTGTGCTTGCAACAGTGTTTCATACAGTAGCTTAGGGAGTGAAAAATACCAGATCGCCTTGGTTTTTGTTCCCGAACTGGAACGGTAGAGGAGTCAAAGCCACACAGTGCCTTGTGGAGAATTCCTGCTCACCATCAAATGGCATAGGTGTTCATTAAAACAGGGGATCATGAGGGAAACAATGAGAGCATCTTTCGAGGACCGCTGGTATGTTAACTCCAGCAGAGAGAGAGAAAAACAGGCCTGGTGGTTCTCTGCTGAATCACTGTTTTATGATGGTGAGCCTCATTTAATGCTGTGCATCCCCAAGAGAAAGGACACACTTGCAGGCAAACTTTGCCCTTGCATAGGTTAAATGCTTGCTGTCTCAAAGTTGTCTATGTTATTGTAAGGATTGAATTCAGTCCACTCTGCTTAAACATGCCTGTATTCAATAAATTTTGTTTAAATTACAGGCCATTTTTTTGGGTTACTTTTTTTTTTCCAAATGCAAGTTTTGTCAAATGCATTTTATTTTTGACTCTGTGGTCTTGGCAAGTGCCAAGAGCATTTCATTTCCTTTCCTGCCAGAGCAGTCATTTCCTTTCAGATTGTAATGAGGTAGACATGTTTTATCTTGTTGCTGCCAAAATAAAAGAATGGATTTCTTTTGTAGGTGGAACACCTAATTTGAAAACACTGTGGTTTGCCAAAGGGCCTGACGTGGAGAAGCAACGGTATAGTACATTTCTGGCATGCTTTCACCTTCAAGATGAGATGGAAGAACTCCAAGCTCTGGAAGCACCTGTTGCAGGATTCTGCTGCTTGCTGGCCTATCTTATGATGCAGGTAAGGGGGATAGTGGCTTTTTCCTCAGCTGTCAGCCCTAATCAGTGCAAAGGACAAATAAACTGGTTTCTGCTAGCCTGTGCTGGGCATTTCTCCTAATCCTTACTTGTAGGCATAGCTGATCAAATATAATAATACTGCATTACAGTATTTTTAATTACTCCACTTAACGTGCACCATCCTGTTCAAGAAATACTTGGGGGTTTTAGTTGCTAATCATAACTCTTACATGCCCATGACAAAAGCCCTTGGGCAGCCTAGCAGAGACTATAAACTGAGGGATTTCCCCTGCTCTTTGGGACCTGTTTGCAAATTAAAGCTGCTGCTTTTGTGTTTTCTTTGTGTCATCAAAAGGAGACATTCCCTCAGGTGACTATGTAGACTTTGCAAACAGACAATATAAATATTTAGTCAGCTCACTACTTTTTCATGCCTTCTTGTCAGTCTACTAATTTTCAAGCCAGAATTGAGGATACGGCTCTTCTCATTAAATTCTGAGTAATAGGGGATCATTTGGTAGCACTTCTGTTATAATTCCAAATACGTGGCAGCCAGCAGACTCCCTTAATTGTAATAAAAAGGTGACACAAGATTAAATACAATATTGCTTCATTATTTACTTTTCTCTTAGGTATTTAATATATTGTCTGTACTTGCCACATTTCAAATGGTGATCTCACAAGCAGATTTTCCTCTCTGAGGAAGAGCAAATTATGCATTTATCTAATCTGATAAACTCAGCTTCACTTGTATTTAATTGCATTTTGTCTTTTGTTTTGCTTTTTTAGGATTCAATATCCTCAATAACAGATTTGTATTTGTGTATGATACATGAAAACAAGTTCTCTCTGACTTTTCCTTTCATTTCCCTTCATGTATTTACTCAATCTTAGATGACATATTGAGGAAGTGCATATGGGAATTACACAAATGATCCATATAGGTCCTTTTTTTCTTTAATTTTTGTATAACAGAATACAAATTGAATTTTTTTCAAAGATAATACTTATTAAACATCATTTCATGCCTTGCAATTTCAAGCAATATATATATATATAAATATAGATAAAGATATATAATGTACCTACCTTTTAACACACTTGAAGTGTTTTTCCTATTAGAATGTGAAAATGCAGTTTCATTTATCACTATTTCACTTATTTATTGAGTTATTCTATGCACTCTTTCATAGCATGATAACTAAATTATTTGAGAAGGGTTTCTTTAGTGGGATTATGAAGAGGAGTAATAGGATGGAACACCTACAGAAATGTGCATTTACTGAACTCTGATCACAGGATATCAGTAAAACAGAAAAAAAATTCTTGTCAGGAAAATGGTTTTCTGAACTTATTATCCAATGGCCACTGTTATAAACAGAGATGAAATCAGATTTACAGCTCTTACTTTCAGCAGGAGTAACAGCAGAGAGACCATGCAAAGGGCTCAATTTGATGGAAGGTTTTTCATGGCAGTGCCAGTTTTTCCAGAAGTGCCCCATTTTCCTGATTCTCTTCTGCCCTCGAAGTTGCACTGATACAATCTACCCTGGGAACCAGACTGGGGAGTTGATTTGGAGTAAAATTATTTTCATTGCTGAGTTATTTTAAACTTTGGTTATTTCTCTGATATTGTCTGTTCTCTTGGGATGTTTGAGAGGAAAACATGAGGGCAGGAGTGTCAGTAGCCATGCTTTGAGCTGGCCATATTGCTTCCATTTGTTTTATAGCTGAGAAAACAAGGCTTGCCTAGCTGTGTTCAGACTCTTGTCTTTACACTTCAGTCTTAAATTTTTATTAGAGAAGGAAGGTGAATTGTTTCCTCAGAAATTATTTAAATGGAGAAATTTGTAGGTTGCCTTGAAGCAGGCCTGAAGTCTTCCTTCAGCTCATGAGGGAAAATAAATTTTTTTAAAATACCATTACTTATAATTTAATCCAAGATGAAAATGAGGTTTTGCAGGAATCAGCACACTGACCAACTCATCTAGCTTCCTCAGAATGTATGTGCAAGTATTTAATGAAAACTTCAGATGCATTTTTTTAAAGTAAGATAAAACATTCCAACGAACAAACCTTAACTATGTAAAAAAAGTGTTGATATGAAAAATGGTTTTTTCAAGGATACCTTTCAAATATTCTCTACATTAAGAACAAAAATAGTGAAAAAATTACAAAATATTAGGTCTGTCTTTCAAGTTGGCAAAGCAGTGAATGAGTTCAAATCAAACAGTGAAACCTCCAGACAAGGGGGAATTTTCTCTTCAATCTCTAACAGTTTTGGATTAAAACTGACAGTGGAATTGTGATAACTCACCAAGTTTGATTACTGAATAAAATATTTCTCTAAAGAAGTGTTTTTACATCCATAAGCATTTTTGGGTGATCTGCTGTGTTAGGGGCAATTTCCTGCTGTTGTACTTGCAAGCACACTTTAATTTCCTTTTCTTAGAACAAAATTGTGCAAGTATTAAGAATTGTTTTGTAGATAAAGGTCAGTTTTTCTGTTACTTCAATGTATAAAATGTGCATGTTTAGTAAACCTCTCTTGTTGCCATCTACACAAAGGTGACACCTGACTTGAATTACAGGGTAAAGTAGAGCCATTATCAGATCTTAGTAGACAGGTGGAGTTAATGAATACCAAGGAGTATTTTGAAAGCTTAAAATGTTTCTGATATCTCTTACATTCTTGTGCTTTATGCAAGATTTAATGGCATCATAGAGGAAAAAGTATTTTATATGGGGACAAGCAGTGGGGTCTGAATAATAAAAAAATAAAATCTGAGTAGTGGTTGAATTATTTTTATCCAGTTAAAAGAAAGGCACTTCAAAGTTTTAGGCAGCCTCTTAAGTGTTCTGTTTGCCCACAGTGCACACTTCCACATTTTGCAAGAGAAACCTTTCCTCAAATCCTAATTGATAAGGAATTGTAATGCTTTATGGATCTCACTTTGGAGCTCTCTGTATATCCTCAACTGCTGTAACAGATGTGTGGTCTTGGTGCACTTGTATAATACACAGTGTTTTATAAGAGGAAGGAAAGGATTAGAGCTCGACTGGTACTGTCATGCAATCATACCAGCTGCTCTCAAGGTACTGTCTTTCTTCTGAGCTGATCATGTGTCTGCAAAATCTCAAAACACTTTTTCACAGCAGAAAAAGTGCCCATTCAGCCTTCACTGATAAACGTGAACTGTTACATCAATTCAGACTTGTAATTTCCGTTTCCCCACTTGAACATTTTAGGTTTTAGTTTTGAGTTTTCCCTCCTTCCATATATAGCCTTAAAATCTGAAAGAAATCGAATATGTTTTGATAAATCCTGAAACTTAGATTAAAATAGGTAATTGAAATGTTTTAGGATATTTTAGAAATTTCTAACAGATAAATGTGTAAGCATTTTTTAAAATACCTAGCAGTCATCATATCTGTAGCTCATTGAGATGGTTTTTATCCTGTGTCTTGATTGTAAAGGAATTTTTTTAATCTCTTTTTTTTTTACTTGATGTTACAGAGAGGGAGAAATTTCCTGTTATTAAGAAACTCCAGGGGAAATGGAGAAGGGACTAAATGAAGGGTGGGAATTTTGTTTGGAGTGTGGAAATTCATGTATATGCACTATACAAAAGTGTTGGGGTATGCACTTCATTCCAGCTGTGAAAGAAAGTATTTTGTTCCCTGTATGTTTTCCTAGATGATACATTCATGGTGGTCATCATTACATGAGTCACTGTTCCAAGTTTGATGTGCTTGAGCAAGAGGATTCAATTTTCAGAAAGCTCCTCTTCAGAGCCTTCAGATAATGTGTCATTTTTTCATCTGCTTTAGGTCAGTAGCCTCTCTCTGGAGGACTTAAATGCATTTCTGGCACTCCTTCTCTGCCTCAAAGGGAAGTCAGCAGCTCAACTGACAGGCCTGCAGGTATGACTGAAATAGTTGTGTAGCATGAAATAATGTTTTGGGGGTAAATCATTCTACATTAGTTTTTTTACAGGTATAGGAGCTAAGGGTCAGGATAAATATGTAGGCTTTTCATGTGCTGTATTTTGTGTGAATACGTGTATTTGCTAATCACACAAAAAATTAAAATGGAAGGGGCATTTTGTAGTGGTTGCAGTCCTAGAGTGAGCAAATTATTCTCTGATTTCTCCCTTCTTAGCTTCCAAACTTCCATCTGATGAAGAACTAGTTACGGTGAATCCTGTCTTACAACATTGCTTCATTTTTTTTACTGGCGAGGATTTTGTTTTTGGACGTGGATTGTAGAGATTTTCAATTTCTTAGCCAGAAATTGTAATCAAAGTATTAGTAGTGTATAGCACTACTACTACTATAGTGACTCCACGTGTCAATTGCTATTTGAGTTGTGGGTTTACATAAAAGTAAATGGGAAAGGATTAGAAATGGTTAGAACCTTAACATATCTTCATTCTGTAAATCTAGCTTGTATTTCCAATAAATTCCTTATTTCTTTGAACAGTCCATGAGAGAATTTTAAAAGTACTTTTTGTTGATCTCAAGGTAATGCTCCTATTAGTATCCATTTGTTTCTAGTGTACAAGTACCAAAATAACAAAACCAGTGTGATTTTAGTTCCATTATTTGATTCTTTATAACAGATGAAGTCCAGGCTCCTATAAGTTTCTTCAAACTCATCGCAAATTTGATTTGTAGCTGCCTGTGTAACAAAAAGGAAGCAATGGAATGAATGCAATATGGAATACAGCAGAAATGTAGGATTTACTGCACATAGTGCACATGTGTTGCAGTCAGCATTGGGAGGATCAGCACTTCATCAAGTCTACATGGCAGTCATTCAGCAACAGCATGAAGGAAATCAAGCCCAAGCAGGAAGTGTTGAAACTATTTGTTTATAGATGCACTTACAGGGATTGTTACATAAGTTTCTAAAGTGCTTCGAAGTTTATTCTGCTTGAATTAGAGGTCTTTGTGTGATTCATTTGTGTTGTGGCTCTTCGAAAATATAAATCCACATCCAAAAACATAATATTAATCAACGTATGCTACTTATCAGCATTGTGCTGATTGAAAGTTGTTCACAAAATTTTGTTAAGAACTCATGGCAGATCAGCTGTGCACACAGGAGTGCATGAAGGGTGAAGCTGGTCTTACACTGTGTCAGGTATCACTTTATGAAGTGGACAGAATGTTGTTGGAACTCTGCGTGCCATTGGCAAGTCCTTTCCAAAGTTATGTCACTCTGCTGCTTGTATAAGCACTTCATGCACTGTCCCACAATGCCTTCTGCTGTGCTAGAAACCAACACAAGATTCATGTAATGTAGCTGAAATTTTTTTCTTTGTAGATCAGCTCCTTGTCTTATTCTTTCAAAATTCACAATAGTGCCTTTGGTAATAGTTTGCACCAGAATAAATCCTTCTGAAGGGAATAGTGAGAAAAGATTTTGGTCTCTTTCTCTTCTGAGGTTGTGAATACATAAATAAGAGTTTCAAAACTTTCCTTCACTGCCTTCAAAGTAACCTCTTTTCCTGTGTTTTGATGACCTGAATTTCCCTGTGGAAAAAAGTTGCTGTTTCTCAGTTGTATGTGTATCTGTGTCTTGTCAGGCTGTATCAAGAATAGAGAACTTAATGTATGTCCTGGGAATTCTCTCTTGAAAGGGCAGGAGACTAAATAAATAGCATATCTTATACAAATATTCTAAGAATAATGATCAATAAATCAAGCTTTCCGAGAATTATCCCTCAAGCATCTAATTTTCAAGTTCCCATCTCAGAATAACTTAAACTGTTTTTACTCATTACTGTGTTTATTTGGTCATTTCACAAAATTAAGTTACTCTCAAAAGTTATTGAGTTATTTTAATAGTTAGTGAATAATGTATCAATAGGTATTTAACAGCTTAATTTTCTAGATATTTTTGTTTAAAATCAAAAGATCCAAGTGCAATGAATTACACTAACATGTAATTGATTAATAAATGGAGTTCCTAGTAAGAAGTCAGGAATAGAGTTTAATCTGTTTACCATACTTTTTACTTTCCATTGAAAAGTTAAAACTGATCCCTAGAAACAGCTTAATCACAGAGCTTCCAAGGAAGTTATGCTAAAATTAGTCAGCATCTGCAAAATTTTATGAAGATATTTTCTAGTTTACCATTTGGACTTAAGATTATAGTATTATTTAAATGTAGAAAAAAATGTTTATTTCTTGTAAAAAGTTATGTGAAGAACAGTAATTTGCTTAAAAAAAATTATCTCTTTCTGTAAAAAAGTACATTAGCAAATATGTTTTAGCAGAATACTTAATTTCCACTATGAAATATGGGAGAAGATATAAATAAATAGAGCCCATTCTGATGGAATGAAGAGAGCGTTTCAGCCTTCACTTTCAAATCTACTTTCTAATATGCTATCCATATTTCATAGTTAATGAGATCCATAAACCCACAAGTCTATGAAACAGAAAAGTCTATGGTTTGAATAAAGTGGGTTAAAGCCATAAAAAATATAGTTTATCTCATGCTGAAAGAAAGTGGGCTGTGAACATGTAACTACATTGTACATTAAATATTACTTTCTGAGAATAACATAATGTTTATACATGAAGATTTGATTATTTTTCAAGATCGATGGTTTCAAAATACCAAAATGTGCACACGATAGTAAAGACATTTTTCTGGTTAGATTTTTTCAAGTTTTCTGGTGCTGCCCCCCTTATATGGTAGATTAGCATTCTACTTTGCTCAAGCCTCCCATAGAGCTTATACATAAGGTCAGAATTAAATTTTGGACCCCAGGTTGCCTATTTCCCTTCTTTCTATTTTAATCTGGTGTGTAGTGTTGGCAAAAAGCCCGGAGAGCCATCAGTCTAACTTTGAGCCCACTGCAGAGAAAAAGAGGCACCAGCAGTTGTGTTTCCAGACTTGTTTCTTACATTGTGCTGGCCCTGGTTGTTTACAAGTGCAATTACAGGTCAGCTTTCACAAGTAATGCATGTAAAATACTGCCCAAACAGGAAAAACCATAGTGACTTATAAACACAATTACATTTTTTCTAAGATTTATCTAAATATATGACTACATGAAAAATTTGTGTTGGAGGTGTAAACAGTGAATCACATCTTTTCTGAAGGTTATAACCAAAGATGAGATGGAAAAATTTGGTTAAAAAGGAAATATGAACTGGAAATTGGTAGGTGAATTTTGGGTCCTGATAAATGATTTTTAAAATTATCTCTTTTTCTGTATGTCAGAAGATAGGAAATCAAATTTAATAGCAGGTGGGTATACACATCACTGCTGGAATTTGCAGCATTTGCAAACTCTGTATAGCTTTGCTTTAAAATGTCCCATTATGCCAGAATATCTGCTTAAGAGTAAAGACATCTTTTGTAGCACTTGTAAAAGGAGTAGTTTGGATGTGTATGGGGTATAAGACAGTCAAGTGCTGAAATATATTCCTTCAACTTTCTAAGAGCTTTTTGTTATTTAAAATTGTTACTGATGTGAAATGAGCACAATCAGTTTAGATTAAATCATAGGATTCAGAGAGTCTTTGCAACTTGATTGCAAATGAACTTTCACACAATATGTATTAGGTATTATATAATTAGCTTTTAGAAGAAAAGGAAGAAGAAAAAAAGAAGTACTCAGCAAACTAGTTAACTAGCTTGAAAGCTGGAAATAGCTTTAGCAAGAATTTTAGTTGCATAGAACTTTTGAGTATTTTTCATAGTGCAGTGTCACAGAAACAAAATTACCTTGGTTTTATACTGTGGTTTACCTTGGTATTATACCAATATTACACAAGGTATTTTTCTCTGAATATTTTCCTGAGGGATACTTGGCCACATCCATTTAAAATAGCAGTATATTTTAGAGTCATAAGGAGTAGTGTAGGTGTCTTGGTTGGGATCCCTCAGATTTAAAGAAGGACGTTGCTACATCTATTCTGTGTTTTTTCTGCTATGCCATGCAGACAGAAAAACATAAATAATACCTAGATTCTGAACACTCGATAATTTCAATCTCCTGATGTATTGGCAAGACAGGCTATGTTTATCAGCACCATTATGTGTGATATTTTTCAAACAGATCCCAAACGGCCTTTGTGACCTATCTGTATTTTTCAAAATATGATTGCTGAAAAAAAAATCCTTTTTTCCCCCAGGGAGTGTATGTTTATTGTGTCTGTGTGACTATTTCCTAATTAATATTTGCTTGAAGTCTAATTGGATTGAGTAAAACATAAAATGCAAATAAGAATATTGTAAAGATCTTAGGGATAAACTCTTCTTATATACAAAGGACCTGCTTCTGTGATGTACATTAGTATTAACTAAAATGGAATTTGAGTGCATTCCCAGATGCTTTACTGAACCAGGGTTTATATTCCCTCAAAATTTGCATCTGTCAAAAGTGTTTTAAAAATTATAGGCAAGATTGTAACTGGCAGGTGGTGGAGAACAGGGGGGATTGAGGTGATTTGCTGATCTTGGCATTGCTTCCCAGTCCATTTTCTCATCTGCAGTCTTTAGGTTTCCTCAGTGTTCTGGGTTAATCTGGAGCTAAAGTGCAGCAGTGTGGGATGTGATTTCGAGTTGGGATTGGTTCAGTCCCTGTTCAAAATTAGAAATATTCTTGTCATATGCTCAAGACAGTCTTAAATGAACCAGTCCACATAGAACAGTTACACTGCACTTACATGGGTCAGGCATTAGTGCAAATACAATTATGTTTCAGGAGCTGTAGTTACTCACTGCTTACAGTACTTTTCAAAGACCCATCTCTAAATCTGTGACTATTTTCATAGGCATCGTTGGAAGTTCTGAAGAAAAGTTTCTTAGTCCACTGACAGCTAGCTCTACCTTTTTTGCTGCTGTTGGTTCAAAAGCATATTAAAAAGAAATCTTAGGCTTAACTAATGTGTTCAACTTG